ATGGCCACTCTAGGCTCCCTTGTCTTTTCCGGCAATAATATCTGCTGTTAGGGCTGTCAGGGACTCTGGCGGAACCCAAGGCAGAGCGAGATAGATGAGTCCCGTTAGCGGTCAGGTGAGAGTTTACCAACGAGTGCCAAAGTTTTGCAGTCCAAACGTATAACCAGGAGAGGGGCTATTTATAGTGAACCGACGAACACAACTCAAGTACTCTAATAAATATGACCTGGTCCAACTTTTACGGGTTGTGGTTGAGTATATTCCTGCATGGGCCACTGGTCCTATATACGAAAGCGAAAGTACGTGCGGCGAATAAGCCGCACATTTGCGACTAAAACGGGGAGGGGGTGGTAGATTAATGATGTCATTTCCATAAACACGCAAGACAGAAGAAATTTACACAGACAGTGCTGACATATTTATCGTCAGTGGTCAGTTACTATGGTCAGAAAGGAACCCTGCTTAAAGGTCTACCTCATGTATTGACCGTTTGCTCGAAAAACAACTTACGAATTGAGGCAAATATTTGCATCCCACGTATGCGTATAGATCGAGAAGAAGAAGCCGCTTTGGTCACCGGAAGCATAGTTTTATTAGTTTGAGCTTTTGAACTCTTGCGGGAGTCCATCGCAAGAGTTCGAAAACGCAGACTGATAAAAATGTGATTTCGGTGATCGAAACGGCTTCTTCTTCTTCTTCTTCTTCTAGAAAGAACAAATAGCCAGGAGATGGGAAAAAGAGCTCTGGTGGTACGGTCCGGCGTTTATGGGGCGCGCACAGTCATGCCAACCCTGCTGCTCGTTGATAAAGTTATCTGAAAGGCCCTTAAGAAGTAAAACGGTGCAGGCAGTATATCTCTCAACTCACGGGGCAGCGCCTTTACTGTGATGATGGCGCGCGCTAGGTAGTCCAGTCGATCTTCCAGTTCCAACCCACCGGAGGGTGCAGAGGCCAGATGTTCGAGGACTCTTGCGGCCTCGAGGTGGGCTCCGCGAGCCTCCAGCTGACGCCAGAGCAGACATCGCAGCGACACGTCGTTGGGTGTCTGTCGCAGACGCGAACGCAGATAGGCCTCCAGGTGGGGTGAATTAAAAACCACCACCTGTTCGATGAGACCATTAGAGAGGAGCCAGCCGATAACCTATCAGAGCAGAGCGGGAGTGGAAGTAAAGAAAAGG